CTTGGTTTGCAAACAGTGTGAGATTTTTATACTGGGTAGGAGTTCAGACTCACAGGGTTCGCAGTCCTCAGAATCTATGACAAATTGGATATTGGTAGTGATTTAGGATGATGAAGTGCACAAGAATTAAATAGAGAACTCCTTTACCTTATGATCCACCAATCCCACTCCTGGGCATATATCCAAAGAAAACTCTAATTCAGAAAGATACATGTACCCAGTGTTCATAGCAGCATTACTTACAGTAGCCAAGACAAAGCAATGTTCAACAGATGAGTGGATAAAGAACATGTAGTATATATATACAGTGGAATATTACTCAGCCATAAAAAGTAATGAAATCATTCCATTTGTAGCAGTATGGATAGACCTAGAGATTATCATACTAAATGAAGTAACTCAGACATGGAAAAGACAAATATCATATGCTATTACTTACATATGGAATCTTTATGATACAAATGAACTTATTTATAAAATGGAAACAGACAGATATAGAAAACATATTTATAGTTCCCAAAGGAAGAAGAGGGGAAGGGATTAAATTAGGAGTCTAGGATTAACAGATACAAAACTACTATATATAAAATCAATAGCAAGCTCCTCCTGTAAATCACAGGGAACTATATTCAGTATCTTGTATTAAACTATAATGGAAAATAATCTGAAAAAGAATATATACATATATACAGCTAAATCATTTTGATGTACACCAGAAATAACACAACATTATATATCAACTATACTTCAATTTTTAAAAAAGAGAGCTCTTTTTCCAGATTCTACCACTTACTGGTATCAGCTTTGGCCCAAAAGATAGTGCCCAAGTTCTGAAACTTATTAAAATACTGTAAGGAAGGCAGAACAATTGGGAGAGAGTGCGAGGTACACAGATTGGACACCTACTATGTGCTTTGGCAACTGAATATATTTGTAACTCACTGTCACAAAACACAAATTTTCTCATTGTTCACTAATTAGCACTAATTTTTTAAATATAAAAGGGCTCTACAAATCAATAAGAAAAAAAAAAGGCCAGTGACTAATTAGCACTAATTTTTTAAATATAAAAGAGCTCTACAAATCAATAAGGAAAAAAAAAAAAGGCCAGTGACCCAAATTAATAATAGGCAAAAGAAATGTATAGATATGGAATAGAAAATATTATTTCTTGTACATTTGAAATGATGCTCATACACAAAATAAAAGAAATTCATTTAAAAATTATAGTGAGAAACACCTCACACCCTTTAGAATGGGTACTAAAGAAAAGAACTATAGAAAATAACAAGTGTTGGCAAGAATGTGGAGAATTGGAATTCTTGTACACAGTTAATGAGAATGTAAGTGGTATATCCAGGGAGAAACAATATGGCAGTTCCCTCAAAAATTAAAAATAGAATTACCATATGATCCAGTAATTCCACTTTCGAGTATATACCCAAAAGAAATGATAGCAACGTCTGGAAAAGATATTTGTACACTCGTGATGATAGCATAATTCACGGCAGCCAAAAAGAGGAAGCAACTCAGATGTCCATCAACAGTTGAATGGATAAACAAAATGTGGCATTTACATACAATAGGATATTATTCAGCCTTAAAAAGGAAGGAAATTCTGACACGTGCTACAAAATGCTTGAATCTTGAATACATTATGCTAAGTTAAATAAACCAGACACAAAAAGACAAACATTGTATGAGTCTACTTATATGAGGTGCCTAAAGTAGTCAAATTCATGGCGATAGAAGGTAGAATGATGCTTTTCAGGGACAGAGGGAGTGGAGGAGCGTGTGGAGTTAGTATTTAATGGGTACAGAATTTCAGTTTTGCAAGATGAAAGGAGTTCTGGAGATGGGTGGTAGTGATGGTTACACAACAAATGTAAATGTGTTTAATATTACTGCACACTAGAAATGATGGTAAATTTTATGTTATGTGTATTTCATGACGACAAAAAAGGAATTTTTTAAAAATTACAATGAGATGTCATTTTAACCTTCCCTACTGGTAAAGATCAATATTAAAAAGCAGAGACATTACTTTGCTGACAAAGGTCCTTCTAGTTAAAGCTATGGTTTTTCCAGTAGTCATGTATGGATGTGAGAGTTGGACTATAAAGAAAGCTAAGCACAGAAGAATTGATGCTTTTGAACTGTGGTGTTGGAGACAACTCTTGAGAGTTCCTTGGACTGCACGGAGATCCAACCAGTCAATCCTAAAGGAAATCAGTCCTGAATATTCATTGGAAGGACTGATGCTGAAACTGAAACTCCAATATTTTGGTCACCTGATGCGAAGAACTGACTCATTGGAAAAGACCCTGATGCTGGGAAAGATTGAAGGCAGGAGGAGAAGGGGATAACAGAGGATGAGATGGTTGGATGACATCACCGACTCGATAGACAGAAGTTTGAGCAAGCTCTAGGAGTTGGTGATGGACAGGGAAGCCTGGTGTGCTGCAGTCCATGGGGTCGCAAAGAGTCAGACACAACTGAGCAATTGAACTGAACTGATTGGTAAAGATTACAAATTAGAAATCTTTTTTGGCAAAATCTATATGAAAATAAGGACACTCATGCTGTGATTTTGTTGGTGGAAACATAAGCATCTAGTTTTAGGGAAGAACAATTTTTCAATATGTGTGAAGATTAAAATTGAAGTTGCTGTTTAACTTTTTGGTCAAGCCATTCTGCTCCTAGGAAGCTAGCTTATTCTCACATATATGATTTGGCATATGATCAAGGCTCTTCATTGCAGCAGAAGATTGGAAAAAACCAAAATGTCTATTGATAGGGGCTGGTAAAGTAAATCATTGCCATCCAATAGAAAACACCAGAATAATATGCAACTGTTAGAATGAGGATACCCAGTATGTGTGAACACAAAAAAAATCTCCAAGGGAGTGGTTAGTGTGCAAAACTGCATTATAGTGTGCTAACATTTGTGCTTTATAATAAAATGAAAAAAAAATGGGTCTAAGTTTTCATTTCTCTTTGCCTTAAATAACTGCAAGTAGTGGCAAGAAACTGCTAACAGGTAAAAGTGGTCACCACTTATTGCTATGGGGAGAAACCAAACTGCTAGGGGGCAGGGTTGGCAGGGAGTTACTTTCCACTGTTTAATGCCCTTGTATTTCAAATTTAGTACTATGAGCAGGTATGATCTATTAAAAATTTTTTATTTAAAAAAAAAAGAAATTACAGTCCAGAAGGAAAAGAAACATAACAAATATTTTCAGCCTAAAATCATGCACTGGGTGCTATGGGAAAGGAAAGGAAGGGTGTCTAGCATAACCCACGGGCATCAAGGATGGCTTCTAGACAAATCACCTGCAGGGAAGAAATGTATGCTGTTGGATCAGGAATAGTTGTATACTTTCACCTGAGCCTTGGTTTATTTTTATCTCATGGACAGATCTGGAAGTTGATTCACCAATTAGAGTTTCCTTATCACTTTAGCTGTTAAAAAGTTAACAAGCCAAACTTGTGACCCATACCATACAAAGTGGGCAGATTTCTACGGTAACCATTTAGCTTTGGCATTGTACTTGACTCCATTTTGTATTCCTGCATCTGGTTTGCTTTTCCCCTGTTTGTAATGTTGGTCATCTTCCCTAGTCTATGCTTCCCTGTAAGCCACTCTACAGCCTTTTTGGCCTAAGGTGGGGTAAATGGGTGAATGAAGAAAGGTGGAGGGCAGGAAAAGAAAAGAGAGAGCATGGAGGTTATAGAGCAATGCCTATCATTTTCCTTGGCTCCATCACATAGATTAAGTGAACACTAGTACAGGATTATTAAAGTGGGCTCCTTAGACCAGGAGCATCACTAATCATCTGTGAGTTTGTGAGTCATGGATTTCACTCAATCTACTAAATCAGAATTGCTGTGGAAAAGGCCCAGGAATCTGCTTTAACATGCCCTCCAGATAATTTTTATGCACATTAATATTTGAAACCACAGGGAAGCCAAAGAAAAATTGATTTCTAAACATGAAAGTGAAAGTCACTCAGTCGTATATGACTCTTTGAGACCCCATGGACTTATACAGTCCATGAAATTCTCCAGGCCAAAATACTGGAATGGGTAACCTTTCCCTCTCCAGGGGATCTTCCTAACCCAGGAATCAAACCCAGGTCTCCCACATTGCAGGCGATTCTTTACCAGCTGAGCCACCAGGGAAGCCCAAGAATACTGGAGTGGGTAGCCTGTCCCTTCTCCAGAGGAGCTTCCCAACCCAGGAATTAAACCAAGGTCTCCAGCACTGCAGGCAGATTCTTTACCAACTGAGCTACCAGGGAAGCCATAAATACTTTCTATTTTCCCCACCATACCCTTTTATTGGTCAAGATAATAATGCTGCTATTGCCGTTTTAGTTACTCAGTTGTGTCTGATTCTTTGCAACCCTGTGGACTGTTGCTCACCAGGCTCCTCTTTCACCATGGGATTTCCCAGGCAAGAATACTGGAATGGGTTGCCATTTCTTTCTCAGCTACTGCAGTAAACAACTCCCAAAATTTCATTAACTTAACACACCAAAATTTTAGTTTTTGCTCACATCACAGTCCAATATAGATCACTGTGGGGGTGTTAAGAGCTGTTTTATTAATTTGTTCAGCCAATCAGCTTCTTTCATAGTGAGGCTTTATCATCTTCTGGCTGCTTGGACTCCTCCTCTGGATCCTCTGCATCAAAGAAGGCAAGGGATAGAGGCAAGAGAAAGGCTTTAGCGCTGTGGTACCTGAAGTAATGCCCATCTTTTCTGCTCACAATTCTACTGGTCAAAACCCAGTCACACGGCCTACTTAGTGTGGGGGTGGGGGTTGGGAAATAGGATATGTCTGTAGGGTTAGGAGAAAAAGAAAATGGCTTTGATGAACACACTGTATCATCTTTGCCACACCCATGGGCCGAAGTGAATTTCAAACTCCACTTTGTGACATTTTGGTTTTTGGTTTCATTTTCTAATCAAGTTTTATCTTCTCTGTTTTAACTCTAGCACCATGGGACTGCGAAACACTCTCATTGTGATGGCGCTCCTGCTCTCTGGTAAGCACACTTTTGGCTTTATAAAGTCCTAGAATCCTCCTACTATCTCCCCATGAACCTGAACTGCAAGCTGGGGCTTGAGACTTGATGGGTTTTACTCACTTTCTATTCAGTGTTCACAAGACCACAAGCTAAAAAGACTTTCATGGAGAAGAAGGAAGCATCATAGTTGAGAACAGGTATCTCAGGTGATGGCAGGTCCAAACTGAGATGGAGCCCATGCCTTCTGCCATCTTACACCTGCTTAAATGCCCCTCAGCTAATCATATCAGCTGCTTTACCATCAAGCTAAGGGGCTAAGCTTCAGGGCTTCTCACCTGCACAGTTCTTTCCAAACCACTCCAAGACCTCAGGAGGAGCCTTAACAGTGCAGTCACGGGTCTTAGGTCTTACTAAAGTTTTCATTAGTAAGATATTTTAACCACAATAAGTTAAGACCATTGTCTCTTTCCACTGTGACTTTTTTTACTTGTCTCTCTGTCACATTCTCCCCCTATTGAGCAGCGCTGCAGTGACCATGGGCATTTTGTTTTGTGTTCTGTATTCTTTTTATTAAAGAGCTCCTCTCTACTCAAGATAAATTTTAGAAGTGTCAGGCCTCAGAAAACCCAAACCTTCCCTGTTTGCTGCTTTCTCTCAGTTTACTTTCATCAGTAAACTGGGGCTGGCCAAGGTTCCTGCCACTCATCTTGGGACTGGGTGCTGTTAGTTTCTCCTGACCCATGCTCTTCCTGCTGCTTGTCTTCCCCACCCTCCGCGCTGAGAGGGAAGTGTCCTGGTCCTGGTGTGGGGCAGACGGGGAGGGGTAGCCCACCTGCTGTTTGGCTGCAGCAGAGCACAGGCTGCCCCTAACTAACTAGACTGGCCATGAGCTCACCTCCTCCCAGTGGCCACACATAAGGCCCTTGGCCACTGACCTCATCCCTGCTGTGGTTGACAAAGAGTCAGGCTACAAGGGTAAGAGTCTCCCTCAGATCGATGCTGGCTGGGACAGGCTTTTGGGGATGTGCTTTCTGCTTAGCACCCTGGAGCTTTCTGTATCTGTGCTATAGACATGTTACCTGATCTACAGATGGGCTAACAGATCACTGACTTTGGTCATAATACTAGCTTTCACCTCCCAGGACCAATATGATTTGCTATTTTAACTCTTGAGAAAGTAGAAGTTATGTGTGAGCAGGGGCAGAGAGAAAGGGGTTGAAGCAAAGCTTTGGAGAACATTATCCAGCAAGAACCTCTTCCCATCCCACTTCTAATTTTTTTATTTGATAAGCATACAGATGTAGCACTTACAAAAATTTGTGCCAGGTACTGTTCTAAGCATTTTATAGATATTAACTCATTTAAACATCATCATAACTCTGCTTTAGGTGTTGTTATGATTCCCTATTTTACAAATGTACAAACTAAAACCCAGAGAGGTTAAGTAATCTGCTTAAGACAACATTGCTGATAAGTGGCAGAGCTTGAGTTCATACCCAGCAGTATAGATGCAGCATCTGTTCAGTTCACCTTAACACAATGCTACTTCTCCTAACTCTTGCTAGGGAAGCTTTCATATAGTAGGATTTGTCCCTTGGGCACCCAAACAGGTTTGATAGATCATGTGGCTTGTGCCTCAGTCAAGTTCACAATTTTCCCATCAAATACATCCTCCAAGTTCCCTGCAGTCAATTCCTTAGCTGTCCCTACAGCTTGGGCCCTGGTCTTTGTCATACAGTGACCAGCCCAGGTCTTATAACTTGGGAGAGAAGAAAGAAAAATGGCCTGAAAACAGAAAAGTCTAAATTGAGATATCATTCACCCCTTCTCCCCCTAAACTTTCTGACTCTGCCCATGGAAAATGAAAATAAAACTGAGAAACCTCACCAAAATTGAGTCCAGGTGTCACTTTTGCCCTTGCTTTGCGTTTGAAATTGCTTCAACACTTCCTGACTTCTGAAAAGAGTTGTCAGTACTGAAATTTTAAAAATAACTCCTCCAAATAGAAGTCATTTAAGCTTTATGGTGATGAGAGAATAGTGGTTATATTTTTGGCAGTACAAATTTAAAGTGGGATAGAAGACAGTGACACTTGATTAGAAGATAATATTGCCAGTACTTCACACAGGATTAAAAATAACAACAACAACAAAACAGATTTCATTTTATGTAAAGAATGAAAAGGAACCGTTCTCCCTTTCTTGTTTCTACTTGAGCTTCGTCCCTGGTACTGCCATGCAGACTAAGTCAAGTAGAACCAAGAAAAAAGTTTTCTTTCCCAATAATTTTTGGAGGTCTTGTGAGATTAAACAAGACCAATAAAAAAAAAGAATGAAAAGGAATCCATCTGAATCTCATCTTTCTTCTCAGGGCACATCTCTGCTTACTGGGTTGGCGAGCAATGACCTACTCATAGGCAGGCATCCAAAAGGAGAAAGGGGATGCAATTGACCCAGCAAAAACACAGGGCTGAATAATTCATTTGACAGCAGATATAAAACAATGCAGTGAAATAATTCTGTTTCTCCTTTTCTCCCTAATATGTTTTGTGTCTTCCCCTAGTCATGGAAATCAGACAATGTATTTGCTGACTCTGCCCATGAGGCAAAAATTGGATGAGAGTTTGAAACCTAAAAGGGCAAGAAGGCAGCCTTCTTGCATAATTAGATTATAATTTGTGCTTAGATTATAATTTGTGTTTATTAGATAAAAATTTGTGTTTATAAAGCTAAAGGAATGTTGAGCTGCCACGAGCAAAGGTACCTCTAGGTCCAGCTCTGTTTGCTGCTATCCCAGCACCTCCAGTTATACTTAAATCTGGAGTCAGAGTGGTATTTGGGAAATCAATAGTTCACACATCAGGAGGAAGTTTCTTCTTAGTTTGACTTCTGAAGGATGCTCTCTTATTGTCTGGAGGTTCTCTGGGTCCTAGGGCTTCTCATTTCTCTTGAACAATACTTCTGGTTGAACAATTAATATACCAGGAATAGTTGGGGGTTCTTCCTTCACTGTTAAGATTTACATAAAATTGGCTCAAACCTTCATTTTGTATCTGGTGTAAAGGTTTATTGTTTCTCCCGGATTTTTCCAGGTTCCTATATGGGTGGTTGCGTGTTTATATGGCTACTTTGACTCCCACTTCCTGTTGCTGTTGATAGTGGTCACTATAATCACAGAGGTGGATAGATAGTTCAGACCTAATTCCCAAATTCCCAAAGAAGCGTCATGGAGCCTCATGGTTCTCCTTTTGGAGTCACTCCTTTAAAATTAAGGTACTGTTTCAGGGATATTTGAAATACTTGTATGCTTCCCAGTAAGGAGTATCTTACTTCTGAAGTAGTGGATCATTTTAATGTTTAGTAGGTTCCAGAGAGAATGGGCTGTCTGACAAGTTAATTTATTGGAAGATGGTTACTGAATAGGGTAAGCATGGGGTTGATTGGGAGCAGGGGTGATATCTGTAGGGAACAGAGAGGCTCCAATGGCAAACAAACTACTTCAGGAAGAGGCAAGAGTTTGAGAGACTGTAGCTTGTTTTTCCTTTGTGAGAGATCTTAATACCATCTCCAAATTATGCAACTCGGGATTTCAGTCCCCTCGGTACTGTTGAGATTTACGGAAACAAAAATACTTGTAACCCTTCCTTTATAACCATTGGCAGCCACAGGGCCAAATTCCAGGGCCTCAAAATTACAAAAACTCTTTCAACATCCTCTAACAGTATTTACCCATCCTTGGTTTCATTTTCACTTTCTTTCATTCCTTCTCCCTGTAGAAGTCTCTATTAAAAAGTATTCCGCTCTCTGTACTATTTAAAAATCACTTCTGTGGTCCTTACAATAATGTAACAGGCGAGAGAATAAAAGTAGTTACGTATAGTTGTGACCACAATATACATGCAAATCCCTGAATATGTTTTATTCAGTATTGTTTCATACACACTGTCTCAAGTTTCTAAGTTCTTTTCATTTTTATAATTTTTGAAACTATTAGTCCAGTGAGTCGAAATGCTGTAATTTGCTTTATTTGTATGTGTGTGTTTTATTCATTCAGAAGTAATTGCCCCCATTGTCTTCTTTGATTTATGGTTGCTGAGAAGTTTTCATTCTAATTGTCATTTTTTTTTAATTTTTTAAAAATTAATTAATTTATTTATTTTACTTTAAAACATTGTATTGGTTTTGCCATACATTGACTTGAATCTGCCATGGGTGTACATGTGTTCCCCATTCTGAACCCCCTTCCCACCTCCCTCCCCATCCCATCCCTCTGGGTCATCCCAGTGCACCAGCCCCAAGCATCCTGTATCATGCACTGAAACTGGACTGGTGATTCGTTTCACATATGATAATTTACATGTTTCAATCCCATTCTCCCATATCATCCCGCCCTCGCCCTCTCCCAAGAGTCCAAAAGATTGTTCAGTACATCTGTGTCTCTCTTGCTGTCTCACATACAGGATTATCGTTACCATCTTTCTAAATTCCATATATATGCGTTAGTATACTGTATTGGTGTTTTTCTTTCTGGCTTACTTCACTCTGTATAATAGGCTCCAGTTTCGTCCCCCTCGTTAGAATTGATTCAAATGAATTCTTTTTAATGGCTGAATAATATTCCATTGTGTATATGTACCACAGCTTCCTTATCCATTCGTCTGTTGATGGGCATCTAGGTTGCTTCCATGTCTTGGCAATTATAAACAGTGCTGTGATGAACATTGGGGTGCACGTGTCTCTTTCAGATATGGTTTCACAGTGTGTATGCCCAGGAGTGGGGTTGCTGGGTCATATGGCAGTTCTATTTCCAGTTTTTTAAGGAATCTCCACACTGTTCTCCATAGTGGCTGTACTAGTTTGCATTCCCACCAACAGTGTAAGAGGGTTCCCTTTTCTCCACACCCTCTCCAGCATTTATTGCTTGTAAACTTTTGGATAGCAGCCATCCTGACTGGCGTGTAATGGTACCTCATTGTGGTTTTGATTTGCATTTCTCTGATAATGAGTGATGTTGAGCAT